GGGCCGGGCCGGGCCGGGCCCCTCGGCCCGGCGGCCGTCACCTGGCGCGGGCTGTGCTCCCCGGGATGCGGGGCTGGCGCTGCGCGGGGCGGCGCTTCTTCCCTTTCCGGTTCTGTCCTAGAACGCCGAGGCACTCGCTTTTTGACGCCGGGTCTCCTTGCCTAGTCCCAGGTGGCTTCAAACTCCTGCCTCATTTTCATACCAAGTGTGGGTATTACAGAGATGAAGTTGGGGTTGCAAAGGAATGGACATACCAAATTTAAATATGTGTTTATTAAACTGTTTTATGTATGTATACAGAAGTTTGGCCGGCACGATGTAAGTGGCCCCCTGGAGCCAGAGGAGGGCATCAGATCCCCAGAACTGAAGTTGTGGGTAATTGTGGGGGTGCTGGGAATCGAACCTGCTCCACTGGAAGAGCAGCCATCTCTTCATCTTATGAAAATCTGAAAGTCTTACTCAGGACCACAAGTTTCCTTTAGAATTCATTCATTAATTCATCCATTAAACAAGTAATTTTTGAGGATTTAACTTGAACCGTTCTGCAGGCTGATTCTCCTCTGTTTGAAGCAAAGGAAAATTCTCACCCTAGAGGAATTAAAAGTCTAAAGACACTGGTCGCAGTACTAAGAAGGTTTGTGCTAAAGCTGTGATGGGCATTGGTAATCACAAAGAAAGGAAGGGTGCCTTCCAGGAGGGTGGAGGCTACAAGGCATAGAACACTAAATCCAGCCGGCTGTGGTGGTGCACCCCTTTAATCCCAGCACCCGGGGAGGCAGAAGCATTCTGATTTCTGTGAGTTTGAAGCCAGCCACATCTACAAAGCCAGTCCAGGACAGCCAAGGCCACCCTGTCTTTAAAAAAAAAGTGTTGTGGGTGTGCACATGTTTTTGTTTTGGTCCCAGGTGTGGAATGTGGGGCTGATTCAGATGGTCCACAGCAGCAAACTATTTGCTTCGTGCAGGCTCTGAGAGGAGCTCTTTGCCACCAGTTAAAATCTGAGGACTCTGGAGAGAAAATAAATGCCAGAGCCCAGAGAGTGGAGAAGAGAAAGAACAGGCTGCTCCTGCTCCCTCCTTGCTGCTCTTGGTCTCTGTTGTGAGACAAGAAGTTGGAGATCTCCTGAAACAAGGATTGGACTGGCTCCAAGGAACCTGACAACCCTAACCAGCAGCAGCTATGAAAACTGTGACTCCTCTTCCACTAACCCTTTCTCTCTCCTACCTGGTGTTGGGGTACTGGAAGGGTTGGAGTAGGGAGAAAAAGATGAAAGAAACGTAAATAAAAGTTTTTTAAAAGTACAACAGTTAAGTTCAGAACTAGCCTTCCCAGGCAGAGGACAGAACACAAAGATGAAAACCAAAAAGAGCCTAGTTTGTGTAGGTTGAAAGTAGTAAGGTGACTGACAGATGCAGACACAAGGCTAGAGATGGGAGTAGGCACACAAGACCCTTTGTGTTTGATGCTACTGGTGTGTTTATTCAGACATCCATTCCAGTGGATGACAAACGTTGCAGAAACGTGTGCTAATGGTGAGCTAAAGCAGTGAGGACGAAATGGCATCTACAGAGACACAGTTTGAGGCTGCAAGAGTGCCCTCGGCAGAGCTGTTTGCCTGCCTTGTGCAACACCTGGGTTCCACACCAAATAAACAGGCACATGAATCAATAAATATAGCCTAAGGTCAATCTGGAAAACGCACTGAGGTCGAGAGATCTGAAGGAAAGAAGGATATTGAGAGCTGTGGCTACACTGAGATTGTGGTGATTGGGAAAGAGCAACGCTGGGGGACATTCGGGCCCGATGGTTAGCAGAGCAATCTGGGCTGTGGATACAGATTTAAGGATTGTTGTGGAACCTGTGGTCATGAATGACATTTCTCAGAATAAGCAAAGGTCCAAGAGCAGAACACTGGGACAGAGCATCATCTAAGAGATCTGTGTAGAGCTGGTGAGATGCTTAGACGTAGAGGCACTTGCTGCCACGCTGGAAGGTAAAGGCATATCATTGACTCAAAACAAGCTGTGCCACAAAAGGCCCATCCCCATGGGGAGATCAGCCACATCTCTTATCTCCCTGTCTATCTCGTTGGCAGCTCCGCAAAAGAACCTTCTCTCTCTTAGCAGATGTTAAAGGCTTATAGAACCATTTGAGTGACTTGTGATGTCAGAACTTTCCGTGATTCCTGAGTCTTGTAAGTTTCATGAACTTTCAGTCTTATGAGCTCCCCTCCTCCCCCCAGGGGAAATACTCCTTCCCTTCTTTTGACTCTTAGATCCTTTCTTCTCTCTCTTCCGTGATGTTGCCTGAGCTTGGGGGGGGTGATACAGATGCGTGAACTTTTCCCCCACTTACCACTGAGCAGTGGGCCACAGTGCCACTTCAGCACTCTGATCTATGCTCACAGCTTGGCCTATTATGATTCTCTGCAGTAATAGCTAGTGGGGGGGGGGGGGTTCTCTCCGGGAAGCCTGAAAGCTTCAGCCACAGCCTGGCTTCCAGTACCAGAGCACGATTCCCAGCTTTGGCCCAGCTTACAGAACCAAAACGTGAGTCCCAGCTGTGGCCCGGCTTACAGAACCAGAGCGCTATTCCCTTCCCTGGGAAAGCACTTAGTTGCACCTCTAACAGTCATGCCTCTGCTGTACCAGCGGACTCAGCTCTCCTGGCATGTTGTAACATAGAACACAGTATCCGAAACTGAGCAGAACTATTGGTAAGAATTACACCCCTGGAGACTGCATAGTGGTTTTTGGCACTATAAAAGCCATCCTTTCTGCTCAGCACCAGATGGGCTTCCCTATGCTCAGCAGACAAAGCATGACAAAGCATTCAGGATCTTTAACTTACTAGGCAACCAGCAGCAGGGCCAATAACCTTTAAGTCTGGGGGCCTCAATGTATACGGAGGTATCCCTTTCCTATCACTGGGATATTATTTAATAACCTTTTTGGTTCTGGGAATGACCTTTCTACCCATGCTGGCTGGTTTTATGCCAATTTGACACAAGCTAGAATCATCTGCTTCAGGAGGGCATCATCAATTCAGGAGGGAACCTGGATTGAGAAAATGCCTCCATAATATCTGGATGCAGGCAATCCTGTAGAACATTTTCTCAATTAGTGATTGATGGTAGGTGGTGCCATCCCTGGGCTGGTGGTCCTAGGTTCTACAAGAAAGCAGGCTGTGCAAGCCATGATGAGCAAGCCAGTAAGCAGCACTCCTCCATGGCCTCTGCATCAGCTCCTGCCTCCAGGTTCCTGCCTGGTTTGAGTTCCTCCCTTGGCTTCCCTCAGTGGACTATGATCCAGGACTATGATCCAACTTTCCTCCCCAAGTTGCTTTTGGTCATGGTGTTTCAGCACAGCAGTAGTGCCCCTGAGACACCAGCCATGCAGAATACTTGCCTTTACCTTCTTTAACTGCTGTTATAGCCCTTCTAGATTCCTTCCAAACCAGCAGAGTGCTCAGGCTTAGCATTACATAATAAAACCTTTCTAAAGAAGGTGAACACCCTCTCTGGAGGCCCACCACCGTCCGTTCTAAGGAAATGTCGATTGGTCTTAGATGGTGAGGGGATACTTTAAAAATACATCATGAAAATACCTTCATTAAAAATGGCAGTGCCAGGCACAGAGGCATGGGTGGAGGACACTTCTCCACCCAGGCCTTCGTGAGCCAGTCCTTTCCCATGAGGCTCTGACCTCATCCTGGAGGACTGCTGCTGCCATGCCTGCTACCAGAGCTAGCTGACTTGGGCATCTGATCAGATTTCCCCCCTAGGAATTGTAGATCCACACCAAGCTAGATACATTTGCCTAAATGATAAAGACAGACCCCCTTGTCTGCATTTTCTGTCTTTCTCACACACCCAACCCTTTTTAAAATGGGTCTTACCAGGTGGTCTGGAATTCTCTATATAGACCAACTTGGCCTTGAACTCACAAAGACCCACCAGCTTCTGTCTCCCAAGTGCTGAGATTAAATGCTGCACTACCTCTCCTCCCCACACCCCTGCTTTAGCACTTTGTAAGCATAATTTACACATTAGTCTAAGCCATTCGTGTTCAGGCTACACAAGGAGACCCTGTCTTAAAAAGCCTAAGTAAGTAATATATGATGTATACTGTATTTTGTATATTTTATATATTGTATACATTACACATGTAAATATATATTATTTATATTACATATATGTGTAATATAAACTACTGCCTCTCATATGCTCACTTCTCTCAGTATATTTTATATATTGTATACATTACACATGTATATATATATTATTTATATTACATATATGTGTAATATAAACTACTGCCTCTCATATGCTCACTTCTCTCAGGAATGCCTGTCCTTCCTCTGTTGTCATCGGGTTGTTGATATTCATGGGACCTCAGCTGATGATAGCTGGATGTCCCTAATGAAGACCAATCCACTGGGGACTGACTACTCTCATATTGCCTCAGATAGTGCAATTTTTCTCTCATGTAGTCATGGCTACTTATATCAGTTTCTTTTGTTTTGTTTTTCCAGACAGGGTTTCTCTGAACAGCCCTGGCTGTCCTGGACTCGCTTTGTAGACTAGGATGGCCTCCAACTCACAGCAATCTGCCTGCCTCTGCCTCTGAGTGCAGGATTATAGCATGCACCACCATGCCTGGCCTCCTATTCAGTCTCCTTCCTTCCACAGCAGCAGATCGAATTTCCCAGGCACTCACAGCTTCTTCAGCAGCCAGGCTGGGAACTGCATTTTTTTTGTTTACAAGCCTGTACCAATTCCAGCAATTCAGTTGCACAGTAGTCCCTGATTTCCATAGTTTCTTGAACTGGACCATTATTAAAGGACCCCGTTTCATGCTCATTCAGATTTCCCCTTCTTCTGAATTAACTGTCCGGCTAGGGGCATCTACCCCTCCAACTTCACTGTCCTTCCTCGCTGTTTGATTCTCCCCAACAGGGCCTAAGGGTTTTTATCCCAGGAAAAGCTCTTCAGTAACGACTTAATTTGTACTTTCCTTCCCTTTAAGGCCCATCTTCTATAAGAAATGGCAAGCCAACACCCCCATCTCATCCTCCTCTTTATCTGCTTTCTCCGCTTCATCAGAGCTCGGCAGAGGATAGTATCTGTAGCCTCTCTGTCTCTCTGTGTCTTATTATCATGAAGCCCCTTACATGGTAAGTTCTTTCTGGGCAGGCAGCTGAACCATGGCTGCCTGGCTTATCGCCCACAGCAAAAGCCATACGACTGCCAAACCGGCTTATGATTCTGTGCTATCAGGCTACTTTAGGAACTGCAATTTACGTGCTGTGTTGGCCGCCTTGGGGGACCCCGCACTTGTGTAGAGGACCCCACTCATCAGGGAGGAAGACAGTCATCCTGGGGTTCCCTGCCCCCACTGACCCCTCCCTTTCAGATGCCTCAGGTTACATATCTTATCACAGATAACAGTGGCACAGTACACAAGAGGCACCTCAGTCAGGAAGCTCACCACCCAAAGCACAGGGGAAAGACAGCCATTTCAGGATCTCCTCCCCACTACCCCACCCCAGACAAACTGTCCTCAGTCCCATGCCTTTCCACCCCTCACTGGGACCCTGTAACTGCTCCTCCTCAGCTTACCTTTGGCTCTGCTGGTCCCTGTTTGGGCACTAGCTGTGTGGCTTTTCAGGATGTGAACAAAAGCCTATTCACTCTAGATCGACTAAAGAAACCATGCCACCGAGTCTAGCTTGGTGCACTAATGATGGCATTTTTTTTGGGGGGGATGCAGTTTACAGAAATGTGGTTGAGGGGTTGCTTACAGAAGTAGGGGTGAGGGGTGAGGGGCTGCTTCCTGAAGCAGGGGTAAGGAAACAGCAACAGAACAGCTGCAGACTTAAGCATGTAGATGTGTGTGTGTGTGTGGGGGGGTGTTCTGAAGCAATCCCCACAAGATAAAACCTTCCATCTGGGAATAAAACTCCTTAAGGCAAGATGCTCATTCTAGAGGGAGATGAAACATTCCATCTTACAGGGAAGACTGTGAGGCTCAGGAAGGTTCCTAAACTTAGCAGATCCACTAGGCCCCTCCCTCCCTAAGCATATATATAAGTAATCAGGAGTGCTGAGCAACACTCTCAGACAAGCTGAGCTATCTGAGAGAGACAAATTGAGCTTCCCTGAGGAAGCAGAGCCCCCTGAGCTGCCTGAAAAGGCTCAGACTAACTGAACTGCTTAAAAGAAACACCCCCCCCACAACCTGCGCGGCTGCTTCCAGGTGTCATGAGCTAGGGTGGGCTTTGATGACACAGCTGTCTCTGTCATTTCTGCTCTTGTAAGCCTCACCTGCACTCCTGAAGTAACTCCAATAAACACATTGGTTTGACAAGTCAGACACTGGTGGTCTTCCTACTTTGGTCCGTCATCGGTTCCTTATTTGGGACAAGGATCTTAAACTGCAGAGTTGAGCTGTCAGTGTAAGCTAGAGACATACCGGAGGGGGAAGGACCTGATGGACAGACTCTGATGGTCTGGGTGAGGACATGAAGAGAACAGGATGCAAGTTCTGTTAAAGTTTGAAAACAACCTAGACATCCATCAGTAGTGAGATGGTTGAACATATATTTCTATCCATTTTAGCAACTTAGATAGATATATGTTGATATAAAAAGATCTCCAGAATATATTGTCAAGGGGGAAAATGTCCACATATTCTAGAAATATGTAGAAAAAAACATCAAGGATATAAACATATATAATATATATTCAGATACATACTTACATAAATACCTGCAAGGATATATGTGTGTGTGTGTGTGTGTATTTATGTACATATATGTGTAATATGTCTATATTAACTCCTAAATTTGAGATAAGGGAGGTTGGAGAGGAAAGATTTTCAACTGGACATGGTGGCATCTCAACCCTTGGCAGGAGGGTGGGGAGTTAGTTCAAGGACAGATTCTGATAGTGAATTTGAGGCCAGTAGGCTATATGAGACCTTGTCTCAATAAATAAAGTGTCTGAGTTACTTTTTTATTGCTCTAACAAAACACATGACCAAGGCAACTTGTAAAAAAACAAACAAACAAACAAACAAAACCCATTTAATTTGGGGCTTATGTTGCAGAGGGTTGGAGTCCATGACCATCGTGGTGGGGAGTGTGGCAGCCTGCAGGGAGCCATGGTGCTTGAGCAGTAGCTGAGCGTTCACATCAGATCCACAGGCATGAGGCAGAGAGAGCTAAGGGAATGCTGTGGTTTTGAACCTAAAGCTGACCCCAAAATCACACCTCCTCCCATACTTCCTAATCCTTCCCAAACAACTATTCAGACAAATACGCCCATCAGGCCCATCCATTCTCATTCAAACCAGACCGTGGTCAGTGTGATGGGTCAGCATTTGCTGCTCTGGTAGAGGACTGGGACCAGTTCTCAGCACCCACATCATGGCTTCCAGCCATCTGTAACTCCAGTTCCTGAGGATCTGCAGCCCTATTCCAGCCTCCTGAAGGCACCAGGCACATGCATGGTGCACATATATGTGCAGGCAAAACACTTATAAACATAAAAACAACAACAAAAACTTTAAAAAATAAAAAGCAACAACAGTCATTAATGAATTTATTTTATTTTAAAGGTATCTGTGTCCACTAAGTAAATACACACTGGGATTTGTGCAGTGTCTTCCACGCTGGCATGCAACATTTTGGCAGAAGTGAGTGGGCAGGCCAGGTGGCCTTTGTGGTGACCTGGCTCTCTGAAAGGGACAAAGTGAATGTAAGGAGGGAGGGCGTACTGAGAACCTTCTGGCAAAGGGGCTGCTTCTCGTTAGTATGAGCAACTGGCATTGTTCCTTACATCTTGCTGAAGAGAAGGCTGCCCACTCTGTCACCCTCTCTTCGCCTGCTCGGCTGTATACCATTTGGTGGCAAGGTCACACAACCTCCCTCAGACTCTCAGGTGTTCTGCTGGCATGAGGCCACAGGCAGGACACTGTCTTCCTCTTTCACCCACTAGTCTGAGGCAGCATGACTCATCTGTCCCCACAACCTTCCTTTTGAGTTGTGGTTTTAGGGAAACCAGAATGCACCCATCTTGCAAATAAGTGTTTCCCAGGCTCTTAGGACTGTTCCGGGGCCCTTCAACTAATTAAGCATTTTCCACTTGGGGGAAAAGGTATAAGAAGAAAGAAATTATAAACTTCCCAGCTCTGAACTGCTTTATCATTTCAGTTGTTTCTTGGTTTTTGCAGTTCCAGTGATAGACCGGACCCTCAGACTTGTCACATTAAAGTGTCCAAGACAAGCATGGTACCACTGAGCCACAATCAAAGCCCTATGTCATCCTACACAAGATTTATTTTAAAAAGTGTTTGGGAAATTGCCACTTTGGATTTCTCCCACACCACTCTCCTACTGTCTGCATCTCCATCATTCCTTAACAGGTAAAAAGAGCTGAGGCTTTCCCTTGAAGGGGTCACAGTCACTCCAGCCCATGTTCACCAGCTGTCATCCAGTGTTCCTAGACCTATAAGGATCTGGGCGGCTGGCTGCCCTGCTATTGGACGGTGCTGGTCTCCCATCTAGGTAAGACCAGGTATATCTAGATTCTGTATTTCTTGGCTTGTGTTGAGTTAGCCTTCACCCCTGTAGTTACCTGGAAAATCACCTCAGCAGATGCGTGGAAAGGCCCATGTCAACTAAAGCAATATCCTCTTGATTGCAGGAGAGGAGAGGACCTGGGCTGAGGACGGCTGTGGGAAGAGCATTAGGCTCAAGCAAGCACTTTGCCTCTAACTTCTCAGAAGACTTGGCCTATCCCTTTGTTACTTTGTTTTGTTTTGAGACAGAGTTTCTTCTCGCTATAGCTCAAGGTGTCCTGAACTGCGTAGGCTAACCTCAAATCTAGCAATTTTCCTACATCAGCTTTCTGGGAGCAACATCCGAAAGTGTGAGCCTCCACACCCAGCTTTGGCTTTTGCAGTGCTGGGGATCAAAACCAAAGCCTTTTCCTGCGCTAAGGAGGCTGCCTGCTCCTCCACCCCTGCCTTTAAAATGCACTTGGAACCAGATGGAGATTGCATAAGGAACTCAATCTGGGAAGAAGGTAGACTGGGAAAGGCCAGACTCCAGCATTTAGACACAGCTATTATGCCAATGAACTGGAAGCCCCAAACCAGAGCCAGAGGTGGGAAGCACATGCAGCCCAATGTGGGAGGAGGAGCAAGTCTGAGGCTTCAAAGGGCACTGTGGTAGGAAAGCATAAGGTTGCCCAGCCTGTTCCCTCCCCACACCCAGGGAAGCAGCCACTCTGACTCCGCAGCTATCGGCACAGACAGATGGACAGCCATTCCTCAGAGGTCTGCCTTCTCAACTTCTTAGAATATTTCTAAAACTAACTCTAAGTTCTGGTTGTGATGTCTGGAGTACAAAGTATCAAAAGAGACCTGGGCCAGAAAGGGAAACAGCCCCTTAGCAGTCCCTGCTCTCAGACTGAGGAAGAACGGAGCAAAAGGCAGAGACTCCACAGGACAAAAGTAAACCCCTGCAGTGTCGTGACACAGGTGAGGGGCTACAGGAGCAGGTAAGTTAGCAGCCCTGCCACTGGGTCCTCCTCTGTACTCTGTAAAGAGGGGTTCTGTTTCTCTCTTTTCGTAGATGCTAAAACATTCTTCTGCTTAAGGCTTTGTATATACACTGTTTGTGTGTGTGCACGCATGCACATGTGTTTGTTGAGAGAGAAGGATTGCAGCTCCTAGCTCCCATCTTTCCTATATCATCTTGTGACCTCCACGCAGTGACTAACATCACTCAGAGTAAGAAACGAGTGTATGGAAGAAAGAAGAGACATTTCCCACCTCCCTAATGCCGAACGAGGAGGGGAGACTAGGCTTAAAAACTGCTAAAATACATCATCAGATATAGAGTAGGACGGAGAGAGGGGAGATGTAGCAGCGACTTCAGATATATAGATACAGAGTACAAAGAGATACGCAGTAAGAGGAGACATCAAAGAGTCCAACAGCACGGGCGGGGAGGGAGTTAGTGAGAGACCACAGGCTTTGCAGCATGCTGAGAGAAGACGCCTCAGGCCCTCTCAGAAACTGGGGAAGAAAGAGAAAGAAGGTGTGAGGAGGCAGCCTGCAGCCCATCTCTGCAGGAACAGAAGGCATGAGCACACTCTGCTTCACAGTTCTGCTCCTTTAATACCAACAAGACAGGCCCGGCCCACCCCAAGTCCTCCCGGCAATCCTCTTCCCCTTCCCAGCTTCTCCTTCTCATGCTTTTCTGCCTGGACCACTCCCCCAGGAAGGCCTGAGAGGGATATGGCCTAGTGCAGCCCAGCAAGAGCCTGGGCCTTTTTCTCTTGACTCTGGTCAGTGAGGGAGCTAACGCAGACAACAAAATATGTCCATTGTTTATCTGGGGTCTAAAGCAACCACGACAAGAAGCCTGGTGACACCAGGGACAAGGAAGGGGCCCCTGATGCTTCAGGGGATTTGGCAAGAGGGAGGGGTTGAAGCTGGAGGGGTTGGGAATGGGAAAGGCAGCTGGTTTCCGTCTTCAATGAACGGTGAAGATCGTAGTCACTAGCTGGAGGCACCAAGAGTCATAGAGCATAGCATATGCACAGACAGGAATTGTATACAAGAATAAAGCAGACATCACTTTAAGTGAGGCAGCGTAAACATCTCCAAGTAGCTAAGATGATTTTAGGGTAAACGCAGAGGCAAGATGGGATGCTCTCCCAAGCTCCCTGTAACTAAGGTCTGTGACCTGTGTCGCTGGAGATACATACAGACCTTGCCATTTTTTTTAAATGTAATACACTGACCCCTAGTGGTAGAAGTCAGTACTGTAGTTACCGCCAGTACCTAAGGGAAAGCTTGGGGCCGTGGGAGGTGAGGGTTGAATATATAGCATGATTTGGGTTTTTACCCAGTGATTTTGTTTGTTTCTGATACAGGGTCTCACTAACCCAGGACTCTTGAACTCATGATCCCCCAGCCTCCATGTGGGTGCTGGGATCACCACACCCAGCTGAGCAGGAGTTGAAAGATTTCAAGTGGTTTAAGAAGAAAAGGGGTGAGGTGGGGAGAGGGCTCAGTCATAAAGTGTTTACTGCAGAGGTGAGGACTATGTTCAGATCCCAAGCACCTACACAAAAGCCAGTCTGTTACCCCAGAACTGGGGATCAGAAACTCCGGCTGGGGGTGGGGTGGACTGGCCAGCCAGTCTACCCAGAACAGCAAGCTCCAGGTCCAGTGAGGCATCTTATATCAAAAAATAAGGTAAGGAGCAATAAAGGAAGAGACACCCAACCTTTGCCTCTGAATGTGAGCTCACATCACTCACACACACACACACACACACACACACACACACACACACACACACGCACCCATACAGGAATACACACACACCCATGCATGTACGCATGCACAAATGCACACAAACAGGAGAAGAGGCCATGGCCAGATAGGAGGAGACTGGGGCCAGGCAGGAAAGTTGCCCGCAGCTACCTGAAAGTGCAGAACATAGCCAGGAATGAGAGTTAGCTGGCTGCTGTCTCTTGGTGGAGGGGGAAAAGCTTGGCCTGGTCCTCAGCTTCATAGCCGCACGGCAGATCACTCCTGGAGGAAGAGACACACTGTGGTCAGCTCCATTCCTGCCATGGTCAGTGCTCTGAGAGTGCATCGAGGGGCAAGGAAGACACATGCTTCAAAGGAAAACTCAAAGCCTTGCGGGGTCAGAAAGTCCCCAAAGGAGGAGAGAAAGAATCAGGCATCCACGGCATTCTCCCCAGGTGACATAACTGGGGCAGGGAGGGGCTGAACCGGGAGTGCCTGGATCTAACTGACTACATGAAGTGACCACAGTGGCCCTCATCTCCTCCTCCTCCCCCTTCCAGAGCTCCAGGGAGAGAAGAGTTTGAGAACCCAGGGTGAGTAGCATCTGAGTACCTGTTATCGTTGATGTCTGTCGCATTTCCTGAAGGGATGGCCATTGAGAACACAGGGTTAGAATGAGGCTGATGTGAGAACAGTCTTCACAAACCCTTCCCACTCTAACACCTCTAAGGAATTGGTAAACCAAGGCACTGTATCCTCACCTACCCAAAGGTACACCTTTATTTTGTAGTAAGTCTCCAAGCGCTCACTGAGAAGGGAAGGGGTAGGAGCAGCCAACTACTGAAGTGGCTTTTGGCAGAGATCAAGCCTGAGGCTCAGACAGTGGGCTATGTGGACCCCCCCAACTTCCCCGTACCAGGGCCGGAAGGCAGGGCAGCGAGCACACTAGGCCAGTGCTCTGCCAGTGAACTCGACCATGACATTATCTTTGTATTTGATACCCTGGCACAGGAAAGAGGTTGCTAGTGCTTGCGTAAACAGCCCCCATCTTCCCTGGGAATCCTGTTGGCAGAATCTTTGTCACTCACCATTGTCCATGTTGGCCTTCTGGTAGGAAGCCAAGGAGCCACCAGATGTGGCCCCATTGCTGGCACAGGAGTTAGCAAAGCTGGAAGGAACAGAACAGAGACAGCCTCTGGAACCCACCATCTACTATTCTGAGAACCCATCGTCCCCCAGCCATTCATCTTCCCATCCCTGGAAGAGGAGCCCAGAGAGAAAGCCCATCTAACCACAGCGCAGAAGGGTGAGAGAGGGTTAGAAACCATGTGACTTACGAAGAGAATTAAATTTGCATAAACAAGAGCTGACACCACCCTATTCCTCCTAGGGGCCCAGATGGCCTCCAGCTGGACCTCCAGCCACACCCATGGTCACTCACTACATATCTGAGGTGGAGCTTGGTGCAGCCTGTAAGTGCAGGCTCTGGTAGTTCTGGAAGAGGTTGTTAGTGTAACTGATACACTCGGGGCTCCGGGTGCCATAGGGGTTCGTGGGTGAGGAGGCTGGGTAGTGGCCAGGCCTCACAGGTTTAGCTATGAAAGAGAAGAAACAACTGTGAGAAAGCCACTGGTTACCCCGAGTTTCCCTGGCCCCCAAGATCGATCCCAGCAAATGACCTCCACATCCTTTGGTGGAAAGGCAGGACCTAACAGCAAGCATTGAGTTGCTTGGCTTTTAGGGACTGGCTAAATTTGCTCGAGGTGCTGGTATGGTCTCGCCTACCAACATCCACTCACCAATCTGGGCAGAATGGCCCCGCCTGCCGGAGCTCTTGTACCGCACGGCTTCCTTGATACGGTCCACCTCCTGCTGGTACCGACGCTTGTCCTTCATGGCGCCCTCCTTGGCCTCCTTCAGTGCGCCCTCCAGGGCCTTAACTCTCTCAGCCGTAGCCCTAAGTCGTTTTTCCAACTTAGGAAGCTCACAACGCAGATCTGCATTGTCACGTACCAGCTGTGGAGTGGGCCAAACAGAAGAAGACAGAAAAGCCAGTGACCCAAGACAGGGTGACCAGTGGACAATGGGGGGGGGGGGGAATAAAGAGAGAGAATAGAGGAAAATCATTTCCTTGAGAGGCCTTGTCCCTCCCTCTCTCTGTCTCCCTACATCATTTTCTAAGCAGTGAAACCTGCCAATCCCACTATGGCCCAGAGTTCTTGATAGGGCCCAGCTCAGGTTCCATCTACCTGGGCATACCCTTCCAATGTATGTCAAACTAGCAGCTCCAGGTGCCCAGTGGGGAGGAGATGGCTTATGTGAGCACGTGGGCATGCAGTGATCAGGACACTAGGAGCACATGACAGTCAGGGCAGACATGGGCTGACAGGATTGCGGGTGAGTGCAATGCAGAGCAAGAGTAGACGCTGGAATAGGGAGCTCCCCACCACACGGCCACACACACACACCAAGCCTCACAGGAAGGAAAGAAAATATTTGCGATAGCACAAACATTTGTGCTCATTACCTTCACCAAGGACCTCCTGGACTATCTTCCCCAACCCCATTAAACCAAGCTAGAGTGTAACAGCAACCACTCTGCAGCCAGAAAAGGCCGAGGGGTCATTTTGTAGGGGCCACAATGATGGGGCGCTTGAAACTACAAGTGCTTTGGGGCCGGAAGGGAGGGAGGCTGGGGAAGTCAAGCAGGTCAGCACAGCAGAGGACACGGTGGGGAAAGGGCCTGAGCTAGAGCCTGCTGCGCAGCCTCAGTGGATTTAGGGTCATCAAATGTTGCTGCACTGCACTTTAGCTTAACTGGTGGCCATGCTGAGGTTTTATAACCCTGTTTCCTTCACAGAGTTGTGTCTGCTGGAGAGGGTGTCTTATTTATCCTGTCTGTCTTTAGGGGAGCAGGTTTTGGAGTTTGGGACTTAGAGCAGAAGTATAGGCTTTGAGGAAGGGGGGGAAAGGAGACGCTTAAAAAAAAAAACAAACAAGAAAGAAGAAACAAACAAAGAAAGGAAGACAGGGTCTTGCTAAGTGGCCCAGGCTGGCCTAGAATTCACAATTTAGCCTTAGCTGCCCTCAAACTCTAGTTTCTCAGGTGCTGGGATCAGAGGCCTGTTGCCACCATGCCTGGCCCCAGTTTGATATGGACTGGGGTTGAACCTAGGGCTCTGCTCAACCTCGATGGTATTTTTTCAACCAGGAACATTGCTAGTCACCACCACTGCCGCCTTCTTTAAGATTTCTTGTCACCCAACTTTTCTGTTAAGGTGTTACACCTTTTCATAATAAGACAAGGAAGGAAAGATAAGAGTTAAGCCCTCAGCAGGTCCAAAGGACACAACACTGGCAGGTTATGGTGAGTCTCGAACTTGGGAAATTTCCAAGAGGACACACTGAGTCTTCACTATAGAGAGGACATCGGGCTGGGAGGAGAAGGTGAGCCTGGCTAGTGAGAGGGAGGAGTCCAGATGGAATCTAAGGGTAGACTTGAGAGGCAGGGGATGGAATTTTGATTGGGGCTTATTTTGTGAATCAGAGAGACTGCTGCCAGACTACTGAGTGCACTGGCCCCTTGGTGGGGACGAGGACACTGCTGCCGTGGACACACCAAGCATTTCCTGTCCTTATTTCTCTAGACTGCCCTTTCGCCCAACCAGCCCACACCTCTGAGATCCAGGCTTCCACCCACAGAGCAGCAGCAAGAGGGGACAGAGAGGCAGCAACTCAGTTTAGGAGTTCTGAATGACCCCACTAGGGGCGGGGTGGGTCACGTGAGAGACATCATTTAATTGCCTGCATATCTGCCCCAGATAGACACATGAAGGTTTTTTTGCTAAGAAGCCTGATTCCCTTGCTTTTCTTATATCCCTATTTGAAGTCTGGAACTATTATACCCTGACCCTGACCCCCATATAGGGCTTGAGAGCGATACACCCAGGCCTGATGCAGGCTATGGAAGCCTGCTGCAGAGCCACCTCCTAGTCTTCTTCCGTTGCTCTATCCTATGCCTCTACATCCTCCATACATTTCAACCTCTTCCTCCAAGGCAGGGCTGGGGACTTCCACTTTAAGCAAAGATAGGCTGAGAAAACTTTTGAGAAGGGAAAACAGGTTCACAGCAAAGATCAGTGCACACATGGGGCCAGATAAGATACCAAGAAGGCACTAGTGAAGTAAAAAGAGAAGGCTATGGACAGCATGCAACTCACTCTTCCCAAATCCAAGGGGTCTTTGAGGACCTGGCTGTCACGAGCGCCTGGCCTGCAGTGCCCCCGTCCTCTGAATGCTCACCTGTTTGTGAACCTTTGTAAGCTGTTCCAGGTTGTTCTCAAGAAAGGAGATCTTCTGCTTTTGGGAATGAATCCCCCCACTGTCCTCGGGCTCCATTTCTGCACTCTGGTTACATGCAAGGGAGAAAAGGTGCGGCTGTCCCACAGCCAGACTGACCCCACAGGGGACAACAGGCCGGAGAACCCTGAGAAGGGAGGACGGGACGGCTTGGTTGGACTTGAGGATGGCACTTACTTTCTTGACTCGAGTCGTGACGTCTTGAACGAACAGCTTGCGAAGGTTGTGGAGGGTCTGGAGTTCCCGGGCCTGCAAAGAATAATGCAAAACTGGGGCATGCGGACACCAGGACTACCTTCCCTCCAGAATCACCGAAACCTGCAGTCACTGGACAACAAATAGTCCATGGGTCTCTCACAGTGAAAGGACAGGAGGATAGAGTAGAAAGGTAAGGAGGGCGGGAGCCTTCTCCCACTCTGTTAACTTGGCACAGGAACCACTCACAACTGTCTCCTCCAGCCCCTTGAGGTCCTGCTTGGACTGCTCATGTCGCTCATACAGAAATCTGTAGCAAGAAAAATAAGGAGAGAGTGGGATACGAAAGACCCCTCAGGATGCCCTTCTCCCACCATCTTTACTTTACCATCATTTATTATACAAATTACTCGTGTTTGCAATGCAACAACCGAAAAGGAACCCTTAAAAGAGTTCAGAGGAAGTTTTATGAAGTTCTGTTATTTACAGTTAGAACTAGTAGGTGTCTATCCTTGCCAACTCTTTTTTTCTATGTCTATACAAAGTCTCTTGGGATCAAACCAATTATACCACTCCAAAACCTTATTTTCATACTTAATAGCCCTGGATGTCCTGGAACTTACTCTGTGGACAAGGCTGGCCTCACCCACAGAGATCCACCTGCCTCTGGCTCAGGAGTGCTGGGATTTAAGGCGTGCACCACCATGCCTAGCCTGGCTGTCATTTCTGCTGCTAATTACTTCCCACCTCTTCATGCCTGCTTCCTGCAAATATCCTCAAGGGGCTGTGCTATGCATCACAGCTCTGAGCCTGTGGGTGAATGCATCACTCACGTCAGCTCCTGGAGTTTGGCGCTTTTCTCATGCTCTTCATTCTTCAACCTCTCGTAATCAGCTTGAAGCTTCTCCAGCTCTAACTGAAGTTTCTGGTTCAGGCTAGGGAGGGTTGGGACATTGGACAGATAAACAGATGCTAAAGGGAGAAAAGGAAGCCCTGCCCTTCCCTTACACAGTGAGACCCGATACACCTGCTTTCAGATTATCAGGGATAAACACCGACTGCCATTTTCATGGCAGCATGGGACCCTGAGGACTCCAATTTTAAGTCTCAAGGAGCATATTAATTCTGACTTCTTGTGCCCATTTTTTTTTTTTTAATGTGTATGGATGTTTTGTCTGCATGTATGTCTGCGCTCCCTGTGTTCCTGGTACCTGATGGGGCCAGAAAAGGGTCTTAGATCCCCTGGGACTAGAGTTACAGACGGTTGTGAACCACTCTGTGGGTGCTGGGGATCAAACCCAGGTCCTCTGGAAGAGCAGCCAGTGCTCCCAACCACTGAGGCATCTCTCCAGCCCTTTCTGTGTCTCCTAAAATTGGGCCTCAAAGTGTGTCATTGTTGAGGAAATGACCTTGGACATTAAAGATCCAGAAGGGTCACTAAAGTGGCCACAGCAAAACGAGAGGACTGGACAGACCCTGGAGCCCTCTAGTCCCTTACTCTTTCAGCTCATCAATGGTCTTCTGTTTCTCATTGATCTCATCTCGGAGGCGGGCCAGCTGCCGGTGATGGGCCTCACGGTGATTCTCCATCTGTACTTCCAGGGCCTTCTGCAAACAGCCCGACCCTGTGCTCAGAGCCAGACTTCCAGGCACAGTGGGCACAGCCCCCGCCCTGCCCAGCACCCACCTCACACCTTCCCCACATACCTTCACCTCCTCTGCATCCTGTGCATCTGGCTCCTTGTCCTTCAGAGCCACTTCGTGCACAGTTTCTAAGGGAAAGAGAGAAAGACAGCTTCCATGACACCAGTGAGCTCCAGGTCACAGGGGAAGGGTGCATAGGGACGTTCTGGGTTGGGACAGTCCAGTTTGACACATCAGGGATGGAGGACAACAGAGGACTATGACCTGGGTGAAACCCAGGCTAGATGTCGAGTTGCCCACGACCTGACACAGGACTCAAGCTGATGCCAAGTGATGCCAAGTGAAGCATCAGGTCATTTTTTTCCAATGTGTATGACTTTCCTTCCCCATCTCTCTGGGACCTCGACCCAAGAATGACTAGGCCAGGTCTAAGCAGGCCTCACCCTGTGCCTGAAGCTTGGCTAGTTCATCACTCAGGGAGTCATAGGACTCTTCCAGGTGCCGTTTCTTCAGCTCCACACTCTGCATGTACTCTGTAAGCGAGCGGATCTTGGCCTCGTGCTGGTAAAGAGAGGCATAAAGAAGTAAAGAGTACAAAGGATCTAGCACTGTTAACTGCAGCTATCCTCCCGTACCTTCCCCTCCTCCTGCTGCACTTTCATAGGCCAGGGGCTGTTCTTATGGAGACTCTTCCTCTACATGTCTTTGGCCTGGGTTCTCCCAACTATCACTTGGCTCTTTAGGCCTTGATCTCTATTGACCCAAGCCACTGACCCAGAGGTGGGTGTTGAGAGCTTATCTGTAGCCACAGAGTAGCCTGTCTACACCCTCAAATGCTCACCTGAGAGATGAGCAGCTGGCAAGATGACAGCTCCCTCCCAGTCACCTCCATCTTTCTGTGACACTCCACCTGGAGGCCCTCCAGCTGTCGACACCGCTTCACCACAGACTTAACCTCTGACTTGATCTTGCTGATGTAGAGCCGGGCCACAGTGAACTCCTCTTCGATGGCCCCGCTGATCTCCACTGGCTGAGTGTGGGTGGAGGAGGAACAGCTGCTTCTCTGAGGCAGAAAGCCAGCACCTACATCCGTCACCCTCCACCCAACAGACTCTCCCCTCCACAGGTACCCAAGGAAGTTGGGAACTCCTCAGCGCCTTTTAGCAGCTTGGGCTAATGGCCTCATTGTCACAAGCTAGAGTCATCTGAGAGGAGGGAACCTCAATTGAAAAATGTCTCCATAGGGTAGGGCTGTAGGACATTTTCTCAAGTAGTGATCAGTGCAGGAGGGCCCAGCCCACGGTAGGAGGTGCCAGCTCTGGGCTGGTGATCCTAGGTGCTATAAGAAAGCAGGCTGAGCAAGCCAGGAAGTAGCACCCCTCCATAGTCTCCATACCAACTCCTGCTTCCAGGATGTCACCAGGTTTGAGTCCCTGCCTTGGCTTCCCTCAGTGAACTGTGGCTAAACAGACCTTTCCTCCCCAAGTTGCTTTTGTTCCTGGTGTTTCCTCACAGCAATAGTGACCCTAACTCAGAAACAGCTCCTTTTAACTAACATTTCACGTCAAAGCCTCTGTTTACGTTCAGATGTCGGATTTTGACAGTCCTCCCCTTCCGTGCTAGTCTCAAACCCCGGGCTTAAGTGCTTTGCCTGTCAACCTCCCAAAAACAGCAAAGACTGTGCATACCTCTGGACCCAGCTGGGCTTTCTTTTGTAGCTAAACTGGTTCTGCTTGATAGTTCTAATAGGTCATCTTCTTATGCACAGATTTGCATGTCATTCCCACCCTGTGTCACGTCTAGACCCTGCCACGAATCTCTGTAGCCATATGTGAACCCTTTAGAATATGTCTTCTCACTTGTACCTACAAACTCTAACTGTTTTTATGTGTCTAATCTGAGGCATGGTCCCTTTTTTTGTTACCCTAAAAAAACAAAACAAAAAAACTAGATATTGCTATGTAGCCCAGGCTGGCCTAGAACTTTTGTTTTTCCTGTCTCGGTCTCCCAAATGCAGGGATCACAGATGAGTGACACTACATCTGGCTCTTGGAGGGGATGTTCTCAGTACACCAAAAGGATGGACTGTCCCATCATGCACCTCTCCCTGGTGCCCAGAGCAAGAATGACCTGAACAACATGGCTGCCTCTTCCCACTCACCAGCTTAATCTCTCCGTTGCCCACGATGACACTGAATTCACTCAGGTCCTTCATCAGCCCATTCAGTACCTCAGCGATCCGTTTCCGCTGGTGTCCACTGACCTCCTGGAGCCGCTGTAGCTCAGACTCCAAGGACAGCATAGTGGCCTAGGGACAGCCCCTAAGGTCATTACCATTGCCAGCCTCCTGCTCCCCTTCCCAGCTTGAGCAGAGTCTCTCATGCCATGCAAGACCCTGAGGGCTGCTACGGATAGAATACAGACCGCACAGAAGCTTCTGGAAGAGAGAAGGGCACATTGCAGAGGCAGGCGAGGGCGGGTGTCTCAACACACTGACTATCAGTGCAGAGGGCACAGCAGTGGCGGGAAGCAGAGGTGTGTCGGGAGCCTCAGGACACTTACCACTTTCTGGGACAGCTCATCCACCAGGAGCTGGTTCTGTTGGCTCTTCTCCTCCACCTCCTGGGACTTCTGGTCGTAGTTCACTGCCAGCTCCTCCAGGGCCTGCAGCACTTCCTTCACCTCATCCTTTGCAGCATCGTTCTCTGACTGTAGGTGGCTCAGCTCCCGCTGGACCTTCTCATTGTCTCCCCGAGTGGACACTAGCAGCTTCAAGAAAGAGGCGGGGCATGCAAGACGGCATATGCTCTCAGTGATGGCCTCTTTGGTGATCATTATGTGAGCTAAGTTTCCAAAACCCGTGGCACACACTCCAAGTACAGGTCAAGGGGAGTGAGGACCAGGCTTCATTAGCCAGGATGGAAACCAGACACCATCATTTGGACTTTCAGAACAACCTGGCTGGTCACTATGTGGTTGCAAACAGGCCTGAGTTCATTAGTTTATTTCTGAGACAGGTTTTCTCTGTGTGGCCTTGACTGTCCTGAAACTTGCTTTGTAGACCAGGCTGGCCTTGAACTCACAGATCCCCTGCCTCTCCCTCCTGAGTGCCGGGACCAAAGGTATGTACCACCATGCCCAGCTTAGCCTGAGCTCTTGATATTCTCGACTCAACCTAAGTGAAGTCTCCATATTGCATGATGTTCATGAGTCACTAGCCACTAAGTAGGATGCCCATTCTTCATGTACTTCTGTTTGTTTTTAGATAAAGTTTCATGTATCCAAAGCATTGTAGCCAAGAATGGCCTTGACCTTCCATCCTGACTGTGGCTGTGCACCAGGCTACAGGTGTGTACAACTGGGTTATGCTCTGCTGGAGAGGGCATGCCAGCCAGGTTCACACTCTACCGGTACAGCTCTACCCTCAGCTGCTCCCACTCTGGGTTAAAGAAGCGATTTTGGATTTGCAGTGATGGCGACAAAGCCCTTCCTCTGGTCCCTCGCTCTGCCCACTGGTTACCTCTTCCTGGTCCAACATCTGCTGCTTCAGCTTCTCAATGAGTTGGCTCTGCTGGTTGATCTCATCGTCCTGTTGGAGGCAAGAGGGGATGCTGAGGGCCCACTTGTCCCATTTAGGGAGAAGCCAGAGCCCTCCAAAATCTGACTGCTGCTTCAAGCTGAAAAGCACACAATACCAAAAGGAAGCCCTTCCCCTGGCTTCCTGCCAAGGCTGCAACACTTTCTCAATTTAGGACAGTCTTGACACTACACAGTAAAAGTCTACACATCCATATCCTTTAGCCTAAAACTTTTACATTAGCACCCCAGTTTAGCCTAAATAATTTAAAAGCAAAAAAAAAAAAAAACAAATTAAAAACTGGGGGTGATCTGAAACAGAGTCTAATGTAGCTAAGGCTCGTTGGTCTTGAACTCACTATACAGCTGCAAATGACCTTGAACTCTTGATCCCCAGGCTCAACCTAGTAAATGTTAGGATTATAGGCACGTGCCACCTTGACCAGGATCTCTGTGTATGTGTGTGCGGAGACAGGGTCTTATCATGTAGCCCAGGTTGGCCTCAGATTCCCAGTCTTCCTGCCTCAGCCTTCTAGGTGCTGGGATTATAGGCAGGAGTAGCACACCTGCCTCAAAAGCGTGCGTGCACACACATACACATACATATCATATGTATCTTACTTTTTAAATATTTTGTTTTGTTATTTCATGTGTATGGATGTTTATTCTGCTGTAAGTCTGTGTACCATGTGTGTGTGTCTGCTGCCTGCAGCGCCAGAAGAGGGCATCCGATCTCCTAAAACTGGAGTTACAGATGGCTGGGAGCTGCCATGTGGGTGCTGGGGGTTGAACCCAGCCAGTGCTCTGAACCATTGAATCATCTCTCCAGCCTCAAAAGCAAATGCTTTTCATGGCAACCAAATACGTTTGATAAATGGACTCCCAGACATCTGCTTAAAAGATTCGTTTTTTCCCATACACGGTGTCCAGGCTGGCCTCAAACTTCCCACAGAGCCGAGGACTATCCTGAACTTCTGACAGTGCTGTCTCCATGTGAGGACTGGGGTTACAGGCGTGTGCCACGTGGGGTTACGTGTCAGTACTTCGTCATGCTGGGGCTGACCCTACAAGCTTTCTGCGTGCCAGGCAGTTGCTCTCACAGCTGAGCTACATCCTTGGCTCCAAACAGACATGTCTATGAGGCACTATTAACGAAGTGAAAATCTACTTGTAATATAATGGTAACTGAAAAATCTGGAGTCAGTCAGGGTGGCCACACTGGTAACCCCACACCGAGGAGGCTAAGGCAGGAGCATCAAGAATTTGAGGCTCACCTAAAACATAAATTCATCTACAAGAGAGAAATATCAGATGCAAATTACTGCAACCATCTGCCTCAGTTGCATGATACACAAAGAACAGTGAAATATTAACACTGTTGACTCTAGACGAGATGACCTACATCTCTCATGTTCTTCTATTTTTTTAAAGATTTATTTATTTATGCATATGAACACTCTATTTGCAGGCCATAAGAGGGCACCATATATCACCATACATGGCTGTGAGCCACCATGTGGTGGTTTGGAACTGAACTCAGAACCTCTGGAAGAGCAGTCGGTACTCTTTAACCACTGAGCCATCCCTCCAGTCCAGATTCTTCTAGTTTTAAAACCTACTTTCCACATCGCAAGGGTTGCACAGAGCAACTTTATAAAGAATTACAGTGTGCATGTGTCTGTGTGGTGTGTGGATGTGCATGCCATGGTGCTTGTAGGACTCAGAAGACAATGTGCAGGAGTCACACCTCTCCTTCCACCACGGGCGGTGCACACGGTCAGGCTTGGCGGGAAGCAGTCGTGGCTGGTTCTAAGCAGTGTCACCAGACACTAGCTAGCTTTTGTAACCTCTGCCTTCAGCACCCTGCCCAGTTGCCTTCACCTTGTCATCAAGCTGCTTGTAGAGACGGCGGATCTCTTCCTCATACTTCTGCCTCTCTTCAGGTGCGATGCGGACCACAATGGATGAGTTGTCATTCACTGGGGTCTCCTCAAGGAGCTCGGCTCCCAGAGCTGAGTCTTCTCCTGCCAGGCGCTCAGTCTCAGGCACATTCTCCCCTGAGAGTGGGACAGAAGGAGAGAAGAGACAGTATATCAACTAATATATCAATATATTAGTATTATCAACCCAACAATATCCGCGTCACCTATGAGACAAACCTCTAGATGTGTACTACGAGGGGTTTCCAGACTGAGTTAGTTCAAGTGAGCAGACCACCTTAAATGTGAGCAGCACTAGACAGATCCACCTTAAACGTGGGCAGCACCGGTAGACCGCCCTTAAAGGGGGCAGCACCATTCTCTGGGCTGGTGCCCTGACTGAATGAAAAGGAGCACACAGTGGGGCAGCAGCTCTCAGCTTCCTGAGTGCAGTGTGAGCAGCTGCCTCGGGGTCCTGCCACCGCCTTCCCTGCGCCCTCAGACGGTGAGCCAGAGCAGCCGCTTTCTGCCTTACTGCTAGGTGTCGTGCCACAGCAAAGACACATGGCCACAGACGAGAAGGGAGAGCTGCATGCGCGAGCTCGTCTACCCCGACTCCTCAGAGCCGGGCTCCCCCAGCCCTTGGGCTCCCTCACAGCCTTGCTTCCTAGACAGTGCTGGCCTTAGGCACTCCCGGACAGGGCTCACTCCCACGGGACCCCCTCTAACCATTGCGCCACCGGCTCAGCTCGGCCTCCAGCTTCGCAATTGTCTCCTTCTGGGTCTTAGTCTTCTCCTTCTCCTTCTCATACTTCTTCTTCCATTGCTCAGCAGTCAGCTCCAGATTCACAGAGGCCGTGTTCTTAATGGTCTTCGCCCTGAGTGAAGAGGACAGACTGAGGTCAGTCCTTGGTGATACTGTGTGCGTGTAGGTGTGCCTGTGCATGTGTGTCCATGCATATGTGTGTAGTGTGCATATGAACAAGTGTGTGTATGTATGTGTGCGTGTGTGTGTGCATGGCCATGTGTGTGAGTGTGTATGTATGTGTGCGTGTGTGTGTGCATGGCCATGTGTGTGAGTGTGTATGTATGTGT